ATCTCAATGTTATACATTTAGTCATTAAATTATTTTATTAAAATATAATTTATATTATTGTTACATTAAAAATAACTGTTATTTTTATTATTTTAAGAAAGGACTTAATTATTCTTTATAATATACCGTTGTTATGTATCCCTATTAGCCTATAATAAATAATAATAATAATAATAGTAATACATTTTAAATTCCTTTTATATAGCAAATTATTATAATGACGTACCTTAGGAGGTGTACAGAAAGTCTGGAGAAGTTCTCCAATAAGTGGGCGTGACTCGTGAGCGAGTGTGTCTGCAGCCTTTCGCTCTCGAGTGTACGGCGCACTTCACTTGAGGCACGCAACACGGATCTCGCGCTGTCCGCACTCGTGAAACAAACCCAAACCAAAACACCCGGCTTCTCTGGGAGACACGGCTCGCCTTCACTATTTTGGGGACAGTAACACCATGGATGCCTTGAGAGCAGTCGCCTTTTACACGCTCTTCATTTTCCTTTGGAGTTTACCGTATTGCCAGTCAGCTGCGCGTATATCGCAGAAAAGGAGCAAGGGTGCCAGGAGCGCGTATGATGGACAAAGGTCACCTACATTTCTTAAAGAGATTTTCGCATCCTCTCCGGGTGCGGGTCGTCTGGATGATTTAAAGGACCCGGTTGTGCCTCACGATTACATGATCTCTATATACAGGACTTACTCCGCAGCTGAAAAACTGGGGCTCAATGCAAGTTTTTTCCGCTCTTCAAAGTCTGCAAACACCATAACGAGTTTTGTAGACAGGGGAAAAGGTTTGTTTTGTTTTGTTTTCTTACATGCATTATCTGTCTGAATTATGTATTATGCATTTTCAATATTTAGTAATGCACCATTCTTTTATTTTGAAATCTTTGTGATATTGTAACACAGGCTATAATTATTTTAAAATGATGTATATGCTTTAAACACAGACTTGTGAAGCAACGACTTTGTGTTAGTAAAAAAAAAATACCCTTTGCTCTAAAAAACATAAATAGACCTAGTTTATTGTTAGAGGGAAAATAATGATATCTTCCCCTGAAATTGGATGAATAACTTTCGAGGGTTTGTTCGTGTGCTAATGGTTTGGTGATCACTCGTCCTAATTGGGCCACAATTTAATGGTCAGCACGACCTCATATTTCGGCTAGTATAAAGTTATATTAGTTTTACATTGACCCTAAGGTAACATGCCAATAAAACACTAATTGGTGCGTTTTCTAAATGAAGGCAATAAATCATTCCCTTAACATCCTCTCGTGCAAGCAGTCCAAGCTGTTCTCACAAACCTCTTGCGAGGAAAAACTACTTACATACGGACATAATATAGTTTAGCAAAATAATATAATTTGCTGTTTTGTTCTGAAAGGAAATATTTTATTTGTACAATACAAATCGTCTTTTTGCTTTCAAAACTTTTATTTCAGTGTTTTAGAGGAGTTTTCATTTGCATTTTCGATTTAACAATGCTATGAGTATAAGTTGCAGTGAAATTGGATTTCCTTTAAGCACAGTAGTTGTGTAAACATTGTGGCGCAAACGAACGCAAAAACATGCGACAGAAAGAGGAAGGCGGCGGAAAGAGTGCACTTTTCCTTTGCAGATAAACGCGTTCGCAGAAAGAACAGAAGCGCAAACTGAATGTATGAAAAAAAACTTCACTTTCCTCTCTGATTTTGATTTGATGTGTCATTGGCTATGACCCTTCACTGGACCCTCTGAGGGTTGCTTTGCATCAAACCGCTGATTGGAGTATTTGAACTGGGTGATCTAATTGAGTGTCCATGTCATAACATTTCAAACGCTGTCTATTCTCCCGTAATGAACTAGTTCAGCCAGTGGAACATCACCAAAAGAGAAGAGCAAAAACTGGAAAGGACCTTACGTCTGTTTAGGTTTGGACAATTGTTGCTTTTTGGGCTTTTTGCTGCCTTTATAGCCTTCAAATTGTGGATAGTTTAGTGCATTACGCGGGGTTACAGATCAAAATGTTTTTATAAGCATCTTAAACTGCTGTAGCAATTGGTGTGTAACACTTACAATCAATACTTCATGCAAAATCAAACCGTTCCATTTGCCTGGCTGCACTACAGTGTCTTGGCTATATGCGCCATGCGCGTCATTCGCTGCTGAATGTCATCAAGAATCATTTCCACTCAAGCGCCGTTCAATTATGATAAGGTAGTAATCTTTTTGTGTAACAGGAAGGAATTTCCTCCAAAACAGATAAGACATTTCCCCAGATTTTAGATCGTTATGGTTGCAAGATCAGACATGAACAAACGGAATGTATGAAAATTACTTTTGGCACTTGTAAGTAACTCATTAAAACGCAGATGGTGCCCCGGTAGCCACACTAAGAGAGTCTCTCTCTCTCTCTCTCTCTCTCTCTCTCTCTCTCTCTCGTCCTACAGAATCGAATTATTGGAGAAGAATGTTCATTGATTAAAAGCGAGCGACTGTGTGGCTGGGGTGGTTTATGAATTTCTGTTAGTGGCCTTCACTGGTCTCGGTTATCTGTTTAGGCCGTCGCGTAAACTTTTGCTGCACGCAATTGTAGTTTATATGCGCAATAATCACTTTTGATCGGGGATGTTGTTTTTGGCAGAAGGGATGAAATATAAGCGGGGTGCTTTTTAATGGGGTGGGAGGGAATTCAGAACTGTTAAATATTTGGTGACCTTGTATTCGATTTGTTTGAGGTCTTATAAAAAACGCTAATGTGGACCATAAGTGCATAGGAACGAAAACAAACATTTAATTTGAATTATTTGAAAATTATGTTCACGCATGGATAAAGAAAGTCACAATAATATACATTTTCGATTTATTTGTTCTAAATATTAATTAAAACTACAAATTAAATGCCGTTTTTAGGTTTGATTTCATTTGAACTGCAGTGCAGTTATTTTGTATCTAAGCATTAAAAAGCAATGCACTATCGAGCAGCCATATTAAAATGAGTCTGGTGTTATTCAGAATTATGCACGTATTTGTCTGGGATTTTGTTCAGGCTAAATTATATCTGTGCCCAAGGCGTAGTTGGAGCGATAATACTCTAATAGTTCAACTAAAATTCTTACATACACAAGCCCACTTGAATTCAGATAAATGCTTCTCGTTTGGTCCATCAGAGAGATAAAAAGGCGGTGATAAAGTGCGACTAGGCCTCTGGATTCCTGAAGGGGAAAGAATGCATTAATTGTGCATTGTTCAACACGTACAGTATGTCGCTTTGTGTCTGGCGCACTCTTTCCCCCCACACTCTCTCTTTCTCTCTCTCTTCCTCACTATGGCTACCAGATCTCTCTTACTTGCGTTATCACCTGTACATATTTATGGCAAATTATTTTGCAGACAGTTATTTAAAAAAACGTATAAGGAAACTACATACCCACATGGCGTAAATATTGAAGAACTTTTATATTTAAAAGGGTAAGCTTGTAGAGAACACAAATTTTTGCTCCACTGACTAGGCAAAAATGATTCCTCTGAAAATATTTGTCATCAATTATCTTGCTAATTTGTGGGCCACAGCTGTTTTATCATATTTAGCTTCTTGTCTAATTTTAGATGGATAGTCTTTTAGACTTGATTTTGTGTGAATCTGTCCCACTTTCCAACATAAAAGACTAAAATAAAGTCTGGTCTCTGAGAATGTGAGCCAGCAGAGAGATTACTTTAACCATATATCATTCAGATGCATTCTAATATTATTAAATATTTTAAAATTGTGTATATGCTAGCTACACTTACCAAACTTAAACATTTGAGAAAAAGCAAAACAGTAAAACATAACAAAAATAATGAAACTGAGTTACTAAGCTAATGCATTTTCATCATCCTCGTTTCTACTTGTTTTATTTTAGCTAGCTACTCTTTTATACTTAATATTGCGTGTATTTTCCAGCTTAAAGGCTAAAAGAGAGCCGACAATAAGGTTTTAGGTTTTACCTGGCCCCTTTATGAGAATGTGAGTCACTCCAAGTGAATCTGACTGCAATTATTTCTCTTTATCTTGCAGACAATCTCACGCTCTCTCCTTTGCGAAGACAAACGTATCTGTTTGATGTCTCAACTCTCTCAGACAAAGAGGAGCTGGTCGGTGCTGAATTAAGGATATTTCGCAAAGCGCCCGCGGATGTCCAACCGTCCCCATCAGGCGTCTACAATCTTCATTTACTCTCGTGTCGATCAGAGAGGCCACTGGCTTCCAGATCCCTTGATCTTCAGGATTCCCGAAAAGCAGAATGGGAGGTTCTGGACGTTTGGGGAATTTTTAAAAACAGACGCCAAGGGAATCAGCTTTGTCTCCAGCTCAAGGTTACGCATAGCAAATCTGACACCGAAATCGACCTAAATCAACTGGGTTTCCACCGGCACGGCCGAACGCAGCAAGAAAAGGCCATATTGGTGGTCTACACGCGGTCTAGGAAAAGAGAAAACTTGTTTAATGAGATGAAAGAGAAGATCAAGTCTCGCGGAGACGACGAGGAGGAGGAGGAGAGCGCGCTGCAGTTTAAAGCGCGGCGCAGACGGAGAACTGCGCTCAATAATCGCCATGGGAAACGGCATGGCAAAAAGTCCAAATCGAGATGCAGCAAAAAGGCGCTGCATGTCAATTTCAAAGAGCTGGGATGGGACGACTGGATCATCGCTCCGCTGGATTACGAAGCCTACCACTGCGAGGGCGTGTGCGACTTCCCACTGAGGTCGCACCTGGAGCCGACCAACCACGCCATCATTCAGACGCTCATGAACTCCATGGACCCCAACAGCACGCCGCCGAGCTGTTGCGTCCCCACAAAACTCAGCCCCATCAGTATACTATACATAGACTCTTAAAAGGGTAAGCTTGTAGAGAACACAAATTTTTGCTCCACTGACTAGGCAAAAATGATTCCTCTGAAAATATTTGTCATCAATTATCTTGCTAATTTGTGGGCCACAGCTGTTTTATCATATTTAGCTTCTTGTCTAATTTTAGATGGATAGTCTTTTAGACTTGATTTTGTGTGAATCTGTCCCACTTTCCAACATAAAAGACTAAAATAAAGTCTGGTCTCTGAGAATGTGAGCCAGCAGAGAGATTACTTTAACCATATATCATTCAGATGCATTCTAATATTATTAAATATTTTAAAATTGTGTATATGCTAGCTACACTTACCAAACTTAAACATTTGAGAAAAAGCAAAACAGTAAAACATAACAAAAATAATGAAACTGAGTTACTAAGCTAATGCATTTTCATCATCCTCGTTTCTACTTGTTTTATTTTAGCTAGCTACTCTTTTATACTTAATATTGCGTGTATTTTCCAGCTTAAAGGCTAAAAGAGAGCCGACAATAAGGTTTTAGGTTTTACCTGGCCCCTTTATGAGAATGTGAGTCACTCCAAGTCAATCTGACTGCAATTATTTCTCTTTATCTTGCAGACAATCTCACGCTCTCTCCTTTGCGAAGACAAACGTATCTGTTTGATGTCTCAACTCTCTCAGACAAAGAGGAGCTGGTCGGTGCTGAATTAAGGATATTTCGCAAAGCGCCCGCGGATGTCCAACCGTCCCCATCAGGCGTCTACAATCTTCATTTACTCTCGTGTCGATCAAAGAGGCCACTGGCTTCCAGATCCCTTGATCTTCAGGATTCCCGAAAAGCAGAATGGGAGGTTCTGGACGTTTGGGGAATTTTTAAAAACAGACGCCAAGGGAATCAGCTTTGTCTCCAGCTCAAGGTTACGCATAGCAAATCTGACACCGAAATCGACCTAAATCAACTGGGTTTCCACCGGCACGGCCGAACGCAGCAAGAAAAGGCCATATTGGTGGTCTACACGCGGTCTAGGAAAAGAGAAAACTTGTTTAATGAGATGAAAGAGAAGATCAAGTCTCGCGGAGACGACGAGGAGGAGGAGGAGAGCGCGCTGCAGTTTAAAGCGCGGCGCAGACGGAGAACTGCGCTCAATAATCGCCATGGGAAACGGCATGGCAAAAAGTCCAAATCGAGATGCAGCAAAAAGGCACTGCATGTCAATTTCAAAGAGCTGGGATGGGACGACTGGATCATCGCTCCGCTGGATTACGAAGCCTACCACTGCGAGGGCGTGTGCGACTTCCCACTGAGGTCGCACCTGGAGCCGACCAACCACGCCATCATTCAGACGCTCATGAACTCCATGGACCCCAACAGCACGCCGCCGAGCTGTTGCGTTCCCACAAAACTCAGCCCCATCAGTATACTATACATAGACTCCGGCAACAACGTCGTGTACAAACAGTACGAGGACATGGTGGTAGAACAGTGTGGCTGTAGGTAGCGAATCACACACGAGGGTTTGGCACCAAGGAATAAAACACTTGAACGATGCGTAAAGACGCGCTTGAGCCGCCCAAACTGCGCATTCTCACTTATGCAAAAAAGATTCTTCATCAGAGACATTTTTGACGTTTTAAAAGATTTCCACAGGCCACTGTTCATGGTTGTGCCAAGAGCTTGTGTTCAGTTTCTCTAGACTTGGAACAAAATCTTGTTTTAGAAGGTTCGCCGTCATTTTTCCTTACACATGCTGGGTTTCTTTTTGTAATTATGTGTCCAAAAAAACCTAAGTATCTCTTTAACGAGTCGTCTCTCGGACGAGGCAGGTAGAAGAAACGCCAGATTTAGTGCGTTACCGTCTGGACAGGATTCACTGAGGATTGTGTTACACCATTATCTCCGTGGACTCTGAAGAATGTGGAGACGGGCACCTGTTCAAACTCATCTGTTAGTTATATGGATAAGATACTCTATGGTATATGGATAATGAATGAGCAAAACGCAGTGCCCTGGAAACGCTTTTTTTACGACCACTGGTGCGTAATCGAGTCATATTCATCTTTTGGGGGCAAAGGTGAATGTACCAAACAGTAAATAAGGCATAAAGCGATTCTACGGAGAGAAAGAGAGAGATTGACTGACTGATGCTTTTTTGAGGAGCATCGGACAACGTTCTCGAGTAAAGTTTTTTTTTTTTTTTTTTTTTGAAGTGCCTGGACTTTTGACTGTAGGTAAAAATACACAAAATGTCATTTTGTACTTTCTGAGAACACAAAAAATGGAAATCCATCAACATTTGCATCTTTACAAAATGCACTTCCGCAACTGTCCAAGTAGTCTGGAAGAAGCGTTTTTTCCCCCATCGACTGACAAGGGAAAAAAAAGAGACTCGAAAGCGAGATTATATTTAAATGCACATTAGCTTTGAATGCACTGTTGTTCATTTTATGAGCTGTAAATATTTGTAAAGTAAAACCTAAAGTGCAACGTATGAAGAAATGCAAACCCACGTTTCTTTGTTAATGTACATTTATAAATGCACTCAAATCGCTATAATTTCTATTCTATAATTATTTTATTATTTGTGATGTACAGAGTTTAATGATAATAGTGTATTTCTTACGCTGATAAAACAAATTTAATTTAAAATGTATTCATTATTGCTGAGGGTGGAAATACCATTATCGACGTCTACCTCATAATTGCATAGAATCTACGTTCTGAGGTGCATTCAGCTAGAGTTTAAGGTTTTTCCAAAAAAAAAAAAAAAAAATATATATATACAGTATATCAATGGATAATAATCCAAACTATTACTGTACTAATAAAAGGAATAAATGCACTTTGTATGGTGCCACTGACTCCTAAGATCCATTTAAATCTTTTGACTTTAAAACTTTGAACCAGTTTAAATTATATATCAATTTTTTTTAACTACATGTTAATGACCTACATATTATATTAAAAAAGTTTATCAGATCTATCCGGAGTAATCAAGGGTTTGTATGTATCTAGTGTAGTAGATAATATATATATATATATATATATATATATATTTTTTT